GATGCTAAGCTCGAATAGACAATATGAGCGCAGTTTTATTCTCTTACTGTTCTTCATTGGATCATAATATGACGATGAGTCTTGTGGAATTTATTAATTAGCATTAGGGAAAAATAAGAGTCTACTGTATTCCTTTTTCGGGTTTTTTCGTACAATTCCCAAATATCTGCTCGGTGCCTCTCATCAGTGGACCTGTGTACACCAGACTTCAGGTAGGCAGCCAACGGGAGAACATTTCCGTGCGAGACGCGAGAGTAGCCGACCTGAAGGCGTGTAACTGTCCTCCTCATACAAGAACACCGATAAAGATCCGCGGATCTTATGGAGCTTGTGTAATTTTACACATTTGCCCACATGGTTTGCTTCAGAAAGAACTGGACATTTGATAAAAGGCTGGTGTTAATACAGGATGGACCGTAAGGATGTGCCTTAATTTTTTTGGGTCCTCAAGCAACCTTGTTGTCTGAAAAAATACTTCATTCCATTTATTCTTGTGTGCCGTGTAACATAAAACCATATTAAAATGATGCAGCATTAATACAAACGAATTGGTGCTGGAGATTGTTGCAAGGGGGCTGACAAAACGATGGGTTTAGTGATTCCAACCCCGTAATGAGATTCAACGTATTTAGTGCTTCCAATAGGTGGCGATATTCTCTGTATTAATACGCACTGAAGAAATCTCGGAAGCAGCAGGTTGATTTAGGAAAATAGAAAGGTGGCATCTAACCTGTATTTTATTTGGAGCTGAACTTCTGGTGTAGATTAAGATGTCGGGAATGTGGATTTCATTTCAAAATTTGCGTCAATGTACCGGAGAAAGTTGATTTTGTATGGTGGTTCGATCATCTGTATAGTCATTAGGAGTTGCAAATTTAAAAGGGAACAGGGTTCTGGTGGGTTTTCACAGGGATTGCGATTTAAAATTAAGGTTTTTTCAAACATGTATTATTCTAGGATGATACCAAGGGGAGAAGGAAGATTGGTCTGGAATTATATGATCCCGATTTGAGTGAAGTTTTGCTAGGTTTGGAGGGAGAACCTTAGACTGGTGCATTTCGTTTTCGGTGTATGAGTCTGAAGAAAATATTCATGTCCTGTGGCTAGTGCCAGTGTTTAATTACTAAGTGCGAAGTGTTAATAAGAATACTGCATTCAACGGCTGATATCAAAAGAGCTGTAGCGCTGACAGATTACTTGACCGATAGACATTTACTTTCCATATTCAACAGAGAACGAATGGAAATTTTTCTATATAGTACCGGCAAGAGGCGTCCTCGGGTCTGCACCCGGTAGTACTTTGAGGATGCAAAGAATATGCAATGGTGACTCGCTTCTGCTCCTCGCGTGGGAAAGTTGTGGTTACTCCAGTTCTTATTTTGTGCAAATGCGAGGTGGAAAGGAGATGTTGCAATTCGACAAAGAAAAGTGTGATGACATCAATAAAGATCGGGTAATTATGGATGTGGGCGAGTCCTGTGAAATGCATACAGGTGGTTTTTGAGATGAGAAAACTTGAATCCATTTATCGCTCTACTCTCTTAACGATTTGCTTTAAGGACTTAACAGCTGCAATTCATCTTCTGTATTAATGCGTACATGGTTTTGTAAGGGGTCAGAAATCGCTAGTCGTTACATAAGAACGGTTTCAACAGGCTTCATTTGACTGATACTGTATCTATTGGTAGAAACGATAAAAGAGGTCATCATATAGAGGCACTTTTGTCGACTTAATCTCTAAGATAGCAGTCCATTTAGACTAACGACGAAAACTTAGTTGCAGGAACATGGGAATCGCCGGACGTTCTCACAATGCAGAGTGCGAAGTAAATGCACGTACCCCCAGATAGTGTTCGTGGGCATTCACATAGCGGTGTTACGACGTGTTGTAGTTTTTTGAAGTGGAGATCTATGTGGGCGTGTCTGCTGGTGCAATGTATTGAGTGTGTTTTCTTAAGTACATTGATTGGGTATTACGAAGCTTTTTGGGTTCCAGGAACAGGCAAGATGAACGTTTGCCAATTGCTTAATAATACACGGTTAGTGAGGCGAGATTGGTCATTAGCTTAATGGGATTGTTCAATCATTGCCTTCATGAGGATTGAGTAGGAGGTAGCAAGTGTGACAATATTTGCGATAATGCCCAGGGATGTGAATGATCAATCCAAATTCCAGCTGAAGGAGCTTGAACGCAGAGATATCGACATTCGTTTTAGCTTTGTGGGATTCTATATTTGACCACATCTTTGAAAATAATATATAGTGTGCGCACTGGCGATAAGTAGAAATTCCTATGTGGAAGAAAGGGTGTTTAATCATTCCAGCCCGTCGAAAAATTAAAATGCAAACGGTCTGGAATACTTCTATTATATGAAAAGGTCGGGGGGTGGGTGTGAGGAACTGGAGATATATTGGGAGAATCGAGAGGTCAGTGTGCCGCGACAGTTTCTTCTTAACAAAGGCATGTAGATATTACCTTTTACCAGCAACTCATGGCTCAGCGGAGGGGGTCACCTTCAATTGAGCACTTCTTACAACAATGTGGGCAGTATCTGTTGAGAATGTAATGGATGTTCCCAGAGCGTTTAATACAATACAGAAGAGGTGGACATTTAGAGATCAATTCCACAAACAGTCAGGCTGAACTACTCAATGCAGCGTTGTTAGGTGTATTCCAAACTCTTGACACTACGCAGAAACCCATGAGAATCGTTTCGGTAGAGAAGGGCGATCGAATATCAAAATCACGCATCTAGCGGTAGGGGGTTTAATACCTTATTCATATTATATCTCCGGATCAATGTTGGTACTCAGTAACGACTCGAACACCTCCGGTGCTGGAACGTTTTCGGACGAAATATATAATCATGTTTTAGTTAAAATTCTGAATCATGGTGTTGTATGCGGTGTGTGATGGAGAACCTGAACCTGGTGGCCCGAGCATATTATTTTATTCTTTAGAAGTTTTTCAATCTCATTTTTCAGATATCATTGAATAATGTACAATCACAGTCTCGAGCACACTTGCGAAAAAATCTCTTTAAAAAAAGTAATCTAGCTACAATTGCGCGTGTACATGACGAGCAAAATGTGATGTCGGATGACAAGGGGGAAAACGGTTTTTTCCGGCAGAAAAACTGTTGTAGAGTGATGTTAAATTTTATTTTTAATAGTTTGGACAACACGCCAATTGTTTAAAACAAATTGTTTTTAATAATACAATTCGCTAATTTGCAAGTACGGGGCTTCAAATTAAATAGAGTCAGTGATCGCCGCGTGTTGCGGTCGTTTCGATAATTTTAAACTGCGTAGTCTGATCGACGCTCTCAGTTCCGCTGAGGAAATTAATGCTTAAACTCGGCTTTTTGCA